TTGTCTAGTAGTAAACTAAATCTATGCCACATTAAAAGTAAACTGTTGTTTTTCATTTTTCATGAATATTTAAATTATAATACAAGAAGCAAGTTATTATAAGTCATAATACCCAAATTTTAAAAACATGACCTGTATTATATTGAATCCTTTCCTGAATACAAGGTCAACAAGAAGGGAAAAACAATCCACATTAAAACCGTACAAACCTGACCTGACGATTTTATAAGGAGCTGTTTTACGCAAACATTAAAAACATTAAAAAAATCAAAACGCTAAGCAATGTCATTACTTTGCCAAAATAGTTACACTACAATGTTTCAAATGAAGAAACAAAATCACAAATAAGGAAAATTTCAACTCAAAGTGATGTGATCACAGCATGCTCTTCAGCATGAACATGTGTAATCAATCAAGCACCGATAGGTGCAGCTGTATTCCATCAACTTCATATGGTACCAAGTATCCTTTCACTGTGCTGTAACTTCTGAGGTCTATTTACATACTTGCAAGCATAAAATATGTATATATATGAATGTAAGTGCATGCAAGGCTAATTGCAGTTTGATTCTGCCTTGGAAACTTTAGCAAGTTCCATCCAATGTCATCCTGCAGTCAAAAGGTTGCAGGTTCTAAGATAACAAGGTGTAGAGCTGGATGAACACAGCAGGCCAAGCAGCATCATAGCAGCAGGATTGCAGGTTCTATTTGGGCATTTGACTCCCTTTCAGCAATTCACTCCACATTTGCCAATCTGATACAAAGGTTGTGAAATTTCAACTTCAAATTAGATCCAGCACATATTATGTTTCCACAATCTTCTGCATTAGTTCAAAAAACATCCTTCCAGGAGTTTGCCCATCCACAAAACTGCCCGCACCCCGGATCATAATAATCATCATTTGGGGTCGCGAAGTAAAATTTTGATATTATCGGTTCAAGGTGCATGTTAAATAATTTTGAGTACTTTTAAAGATAACTGAGCAAATGATTACTGTGCACTAATGTAAGAACATAAGGAGTAGGGAATAGATCATTCAGCTCTTCCTGCAGACTTCATTCAGCAGTTGGGTTGCCTTCAAAAGCTGGAACACAAGACAGTCCTCACTTTCAAGTATACAGAAAAGGACAAATAAAAAATGCCTGCAACATGAAAAAAAAGCACACTCTATTGTAAATAATACACTGCGGTTAAATGGAGAAAATAGCAAAGTAATTACAGATACATTGCACCAACGAAGCCGTGATTAGTCATTTTCAAATAAAATGCTTAAAGTTCTTCGGAGTGACTTTAGCTGTTACGAAAACAATACTCCATCATGAAGAAACTTTCCACAAACCAAAACCATCTCCTTTGATTGCCACTAAATTAATTCAGATGGAAATGATGAAAGGTAATATTCTATGCAAAAAACCATACTTCACATATTCACTCAGATGATTGACGACACAGCTCATTATGGTTTTGTTTACAAAGATAATTTTGCTGAAGGGAAAGGAACTACTTGGAAGTACTTGAAGTTACGAACATATCACAACACGCAATAAAATAATTTCAGGAATAATTCTGAGTCAGGTGGATTTTGCAGTATCATGCTCATAAAACAAAGAAAGGAATTAGTGGAGGTGAACATTTTCATTGTAGAGAATATATCACAGGATTTTAGCATGTCTGAACATTTCTTGGTTGAATAAGTACTTGCACCATGTAAGTTGGTGCAAGGAATTACTCTCTAGCTCTGGGTAGTCAGAATGCTTTTATAAATTTAGAAACAGGGAATAATGTAATCATTTGGTGAGGCCGCACTTGGAGTACTGTGTATAGTTTTGGTCACCTGTTATAGGGAAGGCAGAGTTAAACTGGAAAATGTGCAAAGAAGATTTACGAGGATGTTGCCAGGACTAATAGGCCTGAGTTATAGGGAAAGGTTGGTCAGGATAGGACTTTAGTCCTTGGAGAATGAGGTGTGACCTTACTGAGGTGAAAAAATCATGAGGGGCATAGATAGGATGAATGCACATAGTCTTTTTCCCAGGGATGGGGAATTGAAAAGTAGAGGGCATAGGTTTAAGGCGAAAGGGGATAGATTTAAGAAGGACCTGAGGAGCAACTTCTTCATGCAGAGAGTGGTGCATATATGGAATGGGCTGCCAGTAGTTGTGAGAAAGTAGTTGAGGCAGTTACAATAGCAACATTTAAATAACGTTTGGATAAGTACATGGATGCGATGGTTTTTAATGGAATTGGACCAAATGCGACCAATTGGAACTAGCTGAGTGGGCATCACGGTCAGCATGGACCCGTTTGGGCCAAAGGGCCTGTTTCCAAGCTGTATTACTCTATGACTCTAGATCTTTGTAACATAGCAGGACATAATTTGGCCCATTGTATCTGCACTTGTATTCTGATAGAATTATCTATATTTTTCTTTACTCATTCTTTGAATGTAGGCAGTGCTGACTGGGCTACTATTTATTGCTCATTCCTAGCTGCCCTTGAGAAGGTGATGGCAAGCTGCCTTCTTGAAATTCTGCAGTCCATTTGGTGTAGATACTCCATTTTACTGTTGAGATGAAATTACAAGATTTTGACCCAGTGACTATAAAGGAATGGTGATATACATCCAACTCAGAATGGTGAGTGGCTTGAAGGGATCTTTCAAACAGAGGTTTTCCCATGTACTTGCTGTCCTTGATTTTTTAAGGTGGTAGAAGCCATGCATTTGGAAGGTCCTATCCTTTTCTTTCTCCATACCTTTAAACTTTTCTTTTTCAAGTACTTATTTCTCCTTTAAAAACTACACTGGACTCTGGATCTGCTACTGGATCTGGAGATACGCTATCCCCTATCAACCTTCCATATTAAAAATTACCTTAATCTTTCTCTTTCAATTATGACCAGAATTTTTTTACTCACTAGTTACCAACTCATCATCCAGTGAAAGTGAATTCTTCCCAGTGACCTGGTCGAAACCCTAAATAATTAAAAATTTCTACTGGATGTCCTTTACTCCTTCTTTTCATCTCTAGGAAAAAGAATTCCAAGTTCTCTCATTGCTCCTAATAAATAAAGTATCTGTCGTGTCATCCCTGTAAATCTATTTCTTTCCCTCTCCATGGTGATATGTTTTCCAAAATAGGGGCATCAAAAACCATACAATGGTTGGGTCACTGTATGCAATTTTTAAAATAGATTTAATATCATCTATCAAGCTGAATCAATCTGTGAACAATTTTGCCTTCTGATTGACATAAGCCAAGTTAATAAATCTACTTTCTCTCTATCAGTATGATTACCTTTTTCTCCCCTTCTGTGTAATTGCCCATGTCTCCTAGATGGTGAATCTGTTGCTGAAGCCTGTTACTTAAAAACGTGATTATTGCAATACTTTATTTGCTGACCATCTAATGTTGATATCCATGAACAAGACTCTGCAAATTATCACAAGGTGTGATGATTTGTTACTTCAAAATTGTGATTAATTAGGAGGAGTCGTTTTATCATCACTGTGTTGTTCCAGACACCAGGTGTTTGTAACATTTAATATTGCTTTTAAAGTAAATTAGCATGTGCAGTGATTTTCAATTGGATTTTAAAGAGGACTATTTAATACTGTTCACTGGATTAAGTTTGTTTGGTTCCATAGGCATCAATAGGAAGATGCTCATCAAAAATGTACTTTTATAGCCTTATTTATTTTTGCAAAACACAAATACAAAAGTACTACCTTTAAATAAAGGATTTTAAGTATAATCTAAGAATACTTTATTATATTTTATTATGTTATGTTACATTTTATTCCATTGAAAACAGGCTCACTGAAATTAAAGGATGCATATATAATCACAGAAATGGAAGCCTAAACACTCGTTATTCAGTTGCAATAATTGCCAGGCATTTCTTTGACATTTCTCCTAGAACTTAGCAAAACTGATGTAAATACAGTTTTCTACTAAAAAGGTGGTGGCAAACCCAAGGGAAACTCTGAGGATATTCCAGGAACATGTTCTGTAATTACAACTTCAGAACACCATGAACTGCTTCTGTGTGTCCAGAACATTTATTATTGTGGCCTCTGAGAATAATATATATGGAAATTTAACTAGATGAGTCAGACACCAATGTCTACTTAAAATCAAATGCCATCAAGTACCTTGAAATAAATCAAGTAGTGTGGCATATTTTAAAAAGTGTATTTCTCAAAAACAAACAAAATAAAAATCAGTAAGGCTTTTAATTTATGTATTTCAATTTCATTCCAATGGAGTCCTTGGAGCTCCACAAATTATTGAAATGAAAGTAGAAATATTGGACGTGTTAGGATACCTTATAGATGAAATGATTTAAGGTCACTTCCCATCAGATCTGGAAGTCCTTTTTATTTTCACTAGATTTATATTCCACATTGCATGTATGCAGAAAGTCAATGATTCAAAAGAATAAAATATGCAATACAATTATTCAAGAGCACACAGTGCTGTTCTTCCACAACTAGAAATATGATTCAAAGCAATCGAGACTAGTTAAGTAAGCATTCTAAGTTAAACAGATTAGAAGGTCAATTCCATTTACATGTGTATAGCACATAACGACATAATTTAGCAAAAACTGACACTTAACAGTATTACTCAGAAAATCAGTAAAGGAAACAGGAATGTCACAAAGATTCAACACGGTTTCTGCACTAAAGCTGACGTTAGTACTATCACAATCCAAAGTATGGAGAAAGTGTTTTGCTATATCTGCAGAGTTGCTGATTGTTGCTTACATAGGATACACAGCAAAAATGTTCACCAACCACAGTGGCTCAGTGGTTAGCACTGCTTCCTCACAGTACCAGCAACCCAGGTTTGATTACAGCCTCGGGAGACTGTCTGTTGGGGGTTTGCATGTTCTCCTCATGTCTGTGTGGGTTTCCTCCTGTGGTCAAAGATATGCTATGCTAAATTACCCATAGTGTCCAGGGATGTGCAGGCTAGTTGCGTTACCTATAGGAAATGCAGGGTGATAGGTTGATGGGTCTGGGTACAATGGTCTTCGGAGGAGCATTGCGGACTCGATGGGTTGCATGGCCTACTTCCACACTGTAGGGATTCTATTCTATGAACAAAATATATAAATCACTGGCAATTACTTTCTATAAATAATTGTTCTAAGGTAAATTATTTATTGCTACCAATGATTTGTCATCATTCAGATATGATCATTTTCATGGAATATTTTAATGCAAAATTGCAAAACTTAAGCATCAACTGAACTATTTTCTTCACTCATTAATAATGAATATTCAATGTGGTATTTGTGGGGAGAAGGATGCTGCTACCATTCTACTTTCTTTTATCCGGTATAAGGGTCTGTTAGGTTAACAATGGAAGAGAAGATATCACTTGTGAGTCTTAACAAGAAGAGGCTCATTGACAATCAGATACAAGTTACATCAGTAAAATAAACATTGTTGCTAAGAAAACAATGAGACTTGTGGATTTAGGTATTTATTTCTCACGATCTGAAGATGTTCCTCCTCTTCACCACCCAAACATGTTTGACATCATCAGATTGGGTGGAACTAATGCAATCTCTAAAATTAACTATTTCAGAACTATTGCTTTAAATTCTTTGGCTTACCAATACTAGGGTATCCTGGTGTAGATGGATCTCCTCCAGGATTCAAAGAAATCCAAAATGTCTCATCCCCAAGCTTCTCCTCTGGGGGCGAATCACAAGGGTCAATGTAGACCAAAGCTCCTCCAAAACCAGCCTCCAATAATAAAGATAACTGAACAAGAAGCACAATTTGATTAAAGAGTTATAGATCAAAATACTTCAGGTAGTTTCATTGAGTTAAACAGCTAATTCAAAATGTTTTCTGGTCTTTCCAGCTGGAAACTTAATTTGCAATCCAGATAATCATATGTACTACTAATCTATGTCATTCCAAGGGAATTTCTAATGAACAGCTATTCAAAAATAATTAAAATTATGAAAACACACTAACAACACAAAAGAACACAATCCCAGTATTCACTGCCTACTTATTTTTTGATTTCAGTCAGGAAGAAAACATTTTTAATAGTTTGTGAGATGTACTTAGGAAACCTAATGATGAAACAGTCATGAAATATACCTGAAATTATTTGCTAAGTATAGTCCATTTCCATTAAAATATGCTTCACTTGCTGTCTGAAAAAAAAGTTACATATGCAAGAATGCAGTGTATGTTGAACCTATGACTTGGCTCTTAGCTGTGACAGCTGCACATGCTGTCCTTATCATTACTGACATATGGAGCACTTAAAACATTTGTTATCTTTTATACATCTGTTTTATTCATGGCAGTGATACTAACATGCTAGCAAATTACCCTTGTTACAATGCCAGGTCTGAACATTGTATCACTTCACAAACATATTTGCAAATGAGATTGTTGGATTAGAATGGTTAACAAGATTCACAAGTTTTATTACAAATAAATGTTCATGCTAACAGGGCCAAGATTTCATTCTGAGCTAAACTCTATTAAATTGACACACTTTTGAAAAATATAATTATAGTCCAGAAAATGTACTTAAATTGTCTTTCCTGATATAAATTAAAAACACATCTTCATTTTCAGTTTTCTCTCTGCTTTTTACAGTCACGACATTGGTTAAAATTACAAGTAATGCTGAAGAAGTCAATACTGATCTGTAAAATGGTTACATTCAGAATATATATTTTCTTGAACTTTCCTTATAATAGATTTTGTGCATAGTGAAATGAAAGCGAAAAATAGATTGAGTTACCTAAAAGATTTATTTTACATGAAATCCACTTATACGCTAGGATTAAAGGAAGTAAATGTTGATATTACTGAAATCCATTCATTACATGGGATTTTTACCATTTTAATCCTAGGATCAAAAAAATCTTCCAGAAACAAGATTTGGCGGAGAGGAAAGACAACTAGCATGGTAATTCTCAAGCTAATATGCCGAAGGGTGAGGATATGTTTGGGTACAATGTGAACTGAAAGCCATCTCAATCAATTAAGCCAATTTTTAAAAAATACCAACTTCATAGTCAATATAGAGGAAACAGAAGGTAAAATACAAAGATTTATAACAAAAGAATTCCAATAAAACTGAACACTAGTGAGGGAATAGGACAAGTCTCTTGAGGTTTAAATAGAAAGGCAAAATTCTATGGATGCTGCGCGAAATAAAAGCAGAAAACGGTGGAAATGTTCAATAGATCTGAAAAACAAATAATTTAACATTTAAGACCAATAATGTTTCATCTGAATTAATGAAAGATGGGGTGCCTAATTTTCATTCCTAGATTAAGAAACCAAGGCCAGGACTGTTCTTGGTTTCCAAACCTGCCTTAGGAAGGGCTGAGGAGCAGATAAGTCACTCAGTTTTCATGGAAATGGAATTGGCTGAAGGGTGATTGAGTAGCTAATTGGAAACCATAGGAGTGGGAAAGGAGATGTGACTGTGCAAATCCTCTTTATTGTATCACCAAGCCCCTCCACGATGAGGATGACTGGCTTGTGTATTTCAGCAGCAAACAGACAAAGGTGAACTGGCTGCCTACATCTCATTCAAAGCTACAAAGGGAGCACTGCATAGAAATGGCAAACAGTGGATGTTATAGGGTTTGGCAAAACACTCAAGGGTTACAGTCACTGCCTCACCTGCAATTTGGTGCCATGGTCTCCTCTGACATTCCTAAGGAAATAGGGCAGTTCTCCTCTAAACTGTCCCATCCACCATGGCCTCTTGAATGCATTTACATCTTTTCTATAATGTGGCACCCATAACTGTACACAATACTTCAGCTGAGGTCTAACAAGTGTCTTGTACAAGTTCACTATCAACTCTCTACTCTTGTCTTGTATGTCCCTATTAATAAAGCCAAAGACACTGTCTGCTTTATGTAATGCTCTCTCCAACTGTCCTACCACTTTTAATGATCTGTGCACATATATACCCAGGTGCCTCTGCTCCTGCACCCCATTAAGAATTGTAACCCCTATTTTATATTGTCTTTCAATGTTCCTCCATGTGCTAGTTCACAAAGGACATGGTGGCTGAAGCAACTTGAAAATACTCAGGTAAATTCTGTGTAAGTCTTAAATGTAATTCTGCTTTTATATTCAATTAACTCAAAATGCAGAAGTGCAAAGTGCAGTGTATGAAAATCTGTTGTAGTGGCTCTATGTCAGGCAATTGCTTTATGGCAGACAGTGACTGAGTTACTTAAGCACAAGCATCAGAAGTGATCTTGCAGAAGGTTTTCAGTAATCCGACTTATTCCCAGTACACAATAATGGAATCTGATTGACTGCATAGACAGACTGGTGGTCATCAATCTCTGGAACATAATTAGATGAAGGAACTCTACAACAACACAGCATCATACAGCACAAATCTGCATTTAACAGGTCGATATTTACACAAATAGGAGTTATTTTTCTATTTTAAAGAAAGTAAATACTTAATGAACATTTATTTCCAACCTGAAAGTTACAATTCCCAACTTGAATATCTCCCTGAATATACAATATTAAATTATGACTGAGCCGTCGCTGTGTTAACAATATTTATGGTATGTTTAAAGGAAGAAAGGCAGCAGAAAGGTACATTAGAGCTGGGATTTTCTCTCCTGAGAAGTAACAGGCAAAGTGTGGGAAAGAAAAATAATTGGGCAGATTGGCATCAGGGAATTAACTGTCCTTTCCTGACATGTCAATTAGAGCCCTTAAGTGGACAAATAACAGCCACGCATTGCCCTTTTACATCACTGGCCGGATAAACTGTTCTCCTGGTCAGTGTGAAAAGTGACAGCTCTCCCAACAAGAAAACAGAGTAAGCTACTGGGTTTCAGGGATGATGTATGGGAGAAAGCTGCTAACTGAATCACCCAGCCCATGCCTCCAGCCTTCCTTGCCCTCCATCTCCCCAAGACTCTCCACCCTGGGATTCTCTCTCCCCATATCACCACTTCCCTTGCCTGCTGCTCTAAAACTTGCATGTTGCTATGTCCCCCGCTGCCTCAGTCTTCAAAGTAGCATAGCTGCTCACAGTCAAGCATTTGACAAAGTCCCTTATGGTAGGCTAGTCCAGAAGATTAGGTTACATGGGATCCACAGTGAATTAGTAAATTGGATATAAATTGGCTTAGTCATTGAAGACAGACGGTAGTTGTTCAGAGTGTTTTATGACTGGAGGTCTGTGACCAGTGGTGTTCCACAAGGAGCAATGCTGGGATCTCTCTTGTTTGTAATTTATATAAATAATTTGGATGAAAGTGTAGGTGGTCTGATTAGTAAGTTTGCAGCCAATATGAAAATTGGTGGAGTTGTGGATAATGACAAAGATTGTCAAAGGGTACAGCAGAATATAGGTCAGTTGGGAAAGTTAGGTGACGAATTGGCAGATGGAGTTTAATCCAGACAAGTGTGGGAGGAAAATATACAGTAAATGACAGGAGCCTTAGGAGCATTGATATACAGAGGGATCTTGGGATGGAAGTCTATTGTTCCCTGAAAGTGGCAGCACAAGTGGTCAAGGTGGTAAAGAAGGCAAACGACATGCATGACTTCATCGGTCAGGGCATTAATTATATAAGTTGGGAACTCATAACTGCATAAAACTTTAGTTAGGCCACATTTGGAGTATCATGAGCAGTTCTGGTCGCCACATTATAGGATTGATGTGGAGACTTTGGACTGGGTGCAAAAGAGATTTAACAGGATGTTGCCTGAATCAGAGCATATTAGCTATAACGAAAGGTTGGATGAACTTGGATTTATTTTGCCAAAGTGTTGGAGGCTGAGGGGTGGCCTGATAGAAGAATTAAGGTGTTATGAGAGGCAACAGATCTGGTGTGTCATTGGAATCCTTTTCCCAAGTTGGAAATGTCAAATATCAGTGGTCACAGGTTTAAGAGAGAGGGTGGAACTTCAAGGAGATGTGTGAGTCAAGTGTTTTTAAACAGAGGGCAGTAGATGCATGGAATGCACCGGCAGGAAAGATGGTACAAGCAGATATGATAGTAACGTTTAAGAGGCATTTACACAGAAACATGAACAGGTAGGGAATAGAGGGATAGAGATAATATACAGGCAGCTGAGATTAGTTTAAAATAGCATCATAGTCAGCATAGACATGATGGGTCAAACGTTCCTATGCTATACCGCTCTATGTTCGGTGGCTGTGGACTTCTGCATGGGTCGGTGAAGGCAGGGTGATATATCACCGTCCCAGGAAGCAAAGCACTGTAAAGCCCACTCCCAGTGAGCTTTCTCATTGCTGGTCATGGGGAAAGGAGGATGACTCATTCGTATTACATCCTCCCCTACACTGTAACCAGAAAAAAAAAGGAAAATCCCAGCCATTGGACATTAGGTGACTTAACATCAGAGACCTACTAAAATAATTTTTCATCCAGCTGACCATTAACATCATTACAATAATGTAATGGGATGAAATCCCAAATAGCAGGGCTCCCTCAAGCTACCAAGACAGGATTATCCTCTGGCATTCCAGTCTGTCTATGGGACTACTGTGGCCCTGACAAAATCCTGCCACTTACTTCTTAATTGTCAGTGATGCTCTGGAAGATTTGCTGGAAAAAGATACACTTGAAAAAGACATCATACTATGTAATAACTGTACATCTATGTGCCCGCTAAAACATCTAATAGCGCCTCCTTATTAATCTTAATGGGTTCTAGAACCTCCCATCCCAACTGAAATCCTTGGCTGCAACGTCTTTATCTTCTGCGAATAT